GTCTTTCCCTTCCTCTTTCAGTCCTGGTGCTCCAGCGCTCTTTTTGAAGAGTGCTCCTGCCACCCCACCTTGTGATTTGCCCCAGGACTAACATGGTGCACTGTGAGAGGTGCCTGGAGCCGATGCAGTGCTCCCTCTGGCCAGATGCAGTGCTCCCGGTCCCTAGTGAGCAGCTGCGGTGGCTGACTCAGGAGGCCAGCTGAGTGCTCCCCTTCTCTCTCCTGGTCTGCAGAGTAGTGGCATCAAGATGGAGGCGCCCCCTGAGAACATGTGGCTGCACCCAGGCCCTGGCACCGCCCCGGCCCTCGATGGGCTGCCTGAGCCGCCCCTCCCGGCTCCCCGGCTCCCCGGCTCCCTGGTGTGGGTTAGTTTATGGGAGCGCATGGTTCACCTTGTGCTGAAGTTTGTCTGCACGGTGTCTCTATCACTTTTGACCGAAGCATGCTGATATACACATCCTTACCGATATCACCCCCAAAACACAGAGACTGGGTGTGATAAAATTTCGTGGAACGACACACGTCTGCATGCGCACACACACAGAGTACATGTAAACCTGGACTACTTGAATAAGGTCTGTGCCTGAGTTAATAGTGTCACATCAGATATTGTATCAATAGCATTAATTTCTGGCTTGACGAATGTCATGGGCATGGGGGTACAGTCACGGGGAGAGCTGGGTGAAGTGTGCATGGAAAATCTCTGTACTCGTTTCCATCTTCTTATGAGCCTTTAACTATTTCCAATTTAAAGTTTGTAGTAATAATGCAGGTCTAGGCGGTTAAGACGAAAGTCATGTATTGACTCATGACGGCCATTTGGGCAGGGCCGGATGGGGACAGCTTAAATCTGTCTACAAGTGGCCTCAGTCACATCTGATGTGCCAGCTGGGCTGCTGGAACAGCTGGGGGCTGGGAACATCTGTTTCCGCACAAGGTCTCTGCAGCAGGGCAGCTGGGCGTCTTTATTAGGTGGCTCCGACCCAAGAGGCGGAAAGACCTAGGGTGGCCAGTGTTGGTCATCAGTCAGAGCAGTCACGGGATCGTCCACGTTCAAGGGGGAGGAGAGGAGTGGCAGAGACTGTGTGGCACCTGAAGCTCACTGCCGTCACCAAAGACAGCCCAGGCTTCACGGGTCTAGTCCGACCTGCTCCCATGGCCTGAGGGGATGGAGGCTGGACAGGGGAAGAAGGTCAGCCACCCGAGAGGCCCGTGGACTCGGGCAGAACTGGCCTTTGTCTGGCACTCAGCCTGTGGAAGTCCGGGCCATGGCAGGGCCTACCTCAGCAGCCTGGCACTGCCGATGGCAAGACTGTTTTACACATGCTGGTGTTTGCAATCAAAAAGTTCAGCGGCCCTTCCAGCGTGCTTAAGTTAGTCCCCATGGGGCCCTCCCTGGTGGCGCAGCGGGTTAAAGCACAGCACAAAGAAGCTTAAGCCACTTCCGCATGAGTTCGATTCCCGCCTGCCCCGGAGGTGACCACATGGCGCGGCAGACCTCTCCTGACCCGCCCGCTGCTCCCCTCAGCAGTGTACTTCGTTGACCTGCCTGTTCTGCTCCCCACTCTGTCTCTGGTGAATCCTCTCACCCTCCACATCTCTGGCCTGTACCCCAGTTCTGTATAAATAAATAAATAAATAAATCTTTAAAAAAAAAATTAGTCCCCATGAAAACCAAATCATTTCATTTGCAGAGAAGGACTTAATTGCAAGGGGAACAAGGCAAAGAACTCTGTCGCCTGTTTTCATTGAAGAAAATGACTGTGCTTTCTGCTGTCTCCTTACTGAACAGCAGCAGCTTGGAAATTGGGCTGTAACCCCTGGCGACACCTCTGCTACCCGTTCTTCTCCGCACTTGTTCAGCTCCGCCCCGTTCCCGAGACTCTTGACTGGTTCCTCCCCTGACCAGGGAGCCTTGTCCTGGCCCCGAGGTGGGCAGTCCTTCTGTGAGTTGCCCTGAGTCTCTCCAGCGCCCTTCGATAAAGGCTCAGCCTCAGCTTCGTGGGTCTCGGGCATGGGCTGGCCCGCACTCTTGGCAGGAAGGAAACTCCTGTCACTGCTTTTCTGACATTTGCTCCAAACCCCCACTCACCAGGGGGACAGAAAAGCCCCATTTCAGAAGCTTCCTGACTCTGGCATCTCTCGGCAGCTCACACAAATCTTGAGCTGTGTGCCTGCCGGAGGCAGGGCCGGGACTGGCCCTCGGGCACTGGCCTTAGGCCGCTTCGCCATGGCTCCTGCTCTGTGATGCCCACACAGTGAGCAGGCAGGCCCGGCGGGGACCGCTGCCCCCCTGGGCTGGTGGGGAAACTCGCTTTCTCTCTCCTTCTCTGCCCAGCCTGAGAGCCCCATTCCTCCAGTCCAGCTTGATTTCTTCTGGGGCCAGTGTCTCCTTCAGGGAGACAGGTCACAGGCTGGAAACCTCAGGTGCACCAGCAGTGCCGGGGTGGGTGCTGGGCCCGTGTTGCCCAGAGCGGGCTTCTTAATCAAAGCAGTCAGATTAAAAGACAAGCAAACCCGGTCTGAACAAAAGGAACTGGAGGGACTCAGACCTCAGAAACCCGAATGCTGAGTTTTCCTCTTTCTGGGACAGGGATTTCTAGTCAACTGTTTGTCACGTGTATGGAGCACCGGGCAGGTCCAGGATAAGTCGAGTTCGTTCTGAGTGCTGAGGACACCGCGGTGAACGACCGGCAGACATGCGTGCCGCCAGGAGCTGAGGCCTGAGTGGCGGCGGGGGGCAAGTAGCATCTGTAGCCCACTGGTGTTGGGAGAGAAATAAAGGAGGGCTGCATGGTAGGTGGGGTGCAGCTACAGAGACAAACAGGGTCAGTGGCCCGAAGGAGAGGAGGGGTGGGTTACATGGAAGTCTGGGGGGTGGGCGCAGGCTTGAGGGAAGAGCAGAGCAGGTGCTGAGGGGCAGGAGCAGCCTGGTGAAGGCTGGGGCACAAGGCTTGAGGCCCAACAGAGTGGGGTCGGCAGGAGGCCGGGGCGGAGGCGCCTCCCAGAGCCTCTGGCTCTTCCCCAGTGAAGCGCTTTTATTCCGTCCTGGCAGCCCAGCAGATCTGTGTGGCTCCTCCATTGAAGGGAAGAGAGCAGGGCTGGGAACAGACTGGAGCTAGCTTTCTGGGTTCACACCCTGGCTCCACGGCTTACCTGACCACCCTGCCCCAGTTTCCCCTCTACTTAAAGGGGTGACAGCAACCTAGCTACAGCTCGTTTCAAGCATGTGCTGGCTCATTTCATCAGTTCTTAGTTACTAAGTTCCCCTTCTACAAGGAGAGACCTGCTAACCCAAGATTCCAGCCAATGAAGGGCAGAGTCAGCCCTGGGCGCTGGACCCCACTGGTCCCCATTTCCACACCACAGCCTTGGGCAACCTAGCAGCACCAGGGGGCATGGTGCCCTCACTCTTCCCCCACATCTCTTTACCCCAGCACATCAGGGGACCTCCTGTCTAGGTCCTCTCATGGTCTCTAGAATTTTCCCAGGGCAGGGGTGGAGAAGCTGGCCTGGCCACGCAGGGAGGGCAGTTTAGGGACAGGTGGGCTGACTTACTGTGTAACCACCACCCTGCGCCTTCTCTTTGGGGGAGGCAGACAGGATAATGGATTTGAGTCCCCACACCTGCATCTCTGATGGGACTTTTTTTTTGAGGCTCAAAGTCAATGTTGTATTAATTAAGGGGGAACAGCTGCTACCGCAGCTCATATGATAAGTCAGTGACAAATGGCCATGTTTACCTTTTTTCCTGAGCAGAGACTCTGGAAGGTGGCTGGAGCTCCTGGGTGGACGTCTACAGCTGAGATTTGTGGGGTACAGCCTCTCCTGTCTCCCCCAAACCTTCCTTATTGGTGGCCACTGAGCCCGAGAGGGCTGTTTGTCACTGAGGTAACTGGAGTCTGTGGCCAGGGAGCGCCTGGAAGGGGTTAGGTGGAGCAATGGAAACTTCTCGACAATGGCTCCCACCCAGAGACGCCCTCAGACCCCCGCCTCCGGCAAATCCCCCACCTGCGCTGTCCCTGTTCCTCCTGAAATAAGAGCTGCTTGAAAGTGAGCTGTGGCCCTTCAAAGCCGGGAGAGGCTGCAGAGCCCCCGAGCTGTCTGCTGTGCTGAGGACGCAGCTCGGGCCTTTGTGTCCAGCGCTCTGTGTACCACAAAGGAAGGGGCTGGCCGGCGGGGGCCTTTCGTTACTTCATTTATTTTGATCTTGCTCCTGCTCTCCAAACAGCTTCACAGAAATAGAGCTCTCCTCTCAACTTAAGACAAAACACAGAAGAGGAGGAAAAGAGCTTGTTTTTATTTTATTTTATTTTCTGGGTCCTTTGTATCAATTTGTCCAGTTTCCAGTTGGGAGCAGGATGGTGGGGTGTGCTCATGTACCGGTCACCACTGGCCATGTGGATGGAGACAGCAGGCTGTGTCCTCCCCGGGTGCCCGACACTGGCCCGGCAGCAGGCCTGACTGGCCTGGCCCCGATGCCTGCAACTTGCCCCATGCCCCTAGCCCGGTGGAGCGCAAAGGCCACCGCCCCCCCCCGGCACGTGCCCCCAGTTACTCCCTCGTCTGCACTGGCGTTCTCCCCAGTGGTGGGGCCCAGAAGAGACACGTCTGCTACCAGGATCACCCTTCTCCCTTACCAGGGGCCAGCATCAGCTGCTGAGGAGCCCCCCACCCACCCGCTCTTGCTCTTCCTCCCTCCAGGGCTGTCCCGAGCACCGGCTTGACGGGAGGCAGAAATGGGGCCAAAGCGGGTGCTGTCAGCCCACACTCCTTGCCCCCCACAGGTGCCAGGTGGTCGTCCTGCCAGTCATGGTGCTGTACGTGTGAGAACCAAGACCCTGGCCGCGGGTGGTCTGTGGAGGGCTCCACGGGCTCAGAAGCAGGGAGGCCAGGCCCCGCTCCGCCAGCCCCGCTGCGCCTCAGCTCCGCGTGGCGCCGTCTCACCTGCTCTGCTTTGGGGAGAGGAGGGAAAGAATCACAGACGAGGAACATCCATCTTTAATAAATATGTTTATTTATCTAAGTTTTGACCCTGATACTGAAGCAGGTTGCTGCAGTTTCTTATTCTGGCCAGAGCCTGACTATGAGAGTTTCTTTGCCCCAGGGCCAGTGCTCGGATTCCAGCCTCGCCCATTACCCAGACATCAGAGGAAACGAGGGAGTATTGCTCAGATGAGGGAGACTGGAGCGTTATTACGGAAACAAAAATACCAACAGACCAGACAGGGATGCTTAATGCCTTTTGGAGGCAGCTGCTTCGTTTCTCCTGGCCCTCTCCTGCCTGCCACAGATGAGAACATATGGGATGAGACTGTGCTGGAGAGGCGCCTCACACTTAACTAATAAGGCTCCCCGCCAGGCTGCCTCTGGAGCTGCTCCCGCCCGGCGGGCAGACTCCAGGCCCAGTGGTCTGGGGTAGCGGCGCCGGCATGCACCGGGCGGCCAGCAGGGGGCGGCGGTGTGGCCAACGTGCCTCACCCACACAGACACCAGGGCTGTGCTGGAACTTCTGGTTCAACAGCCCCACCAGGGAGGCTGCGGTGGTCGTCCGTCCTTGTAAACAAAGTGATATTCACGGAAAACAAGGTTATCTTCACCACAAGAGCAAGATGCCCAAGGTCCTGGAATTACATTCTCAGCTTGTTGCGGCACCTTGACTGCAGGTCTGGTCTGAGGCTGTCTTCTGAGAGAAGTGCCAATGGAGGCCCAGCCCCAGGAGGTTACCTAGGGTAGGGCAGCAGCGGTGGCAATGACTGGTGGCGGCTCGAACCTCCTCTGCTCACAGGCCTGTGCCTACCCTGGCTTCCTCCCCGAGGCATACCAGCAGCTCACTCCTCCTGACCTGAAGGCCCTCATGCCAGGGCTTGGCATTTCTAGACACTGCTCCTAAAGTACATGTTCTAATTTCTAGTATCTTCTCCCTCCCATTCCAGCCAGAGGACAGGCTTTCTCCTCTTACCCTTGCGCTCCTAGGTAAGACCCTCTGAAGGCACATGGACGAGCGGCCCGACCCCGCCACCCCACCCGCTGTCCCCAGACTCGCCTCCTGCAGGTGCTGTGCCACCTCGCTGCCCGGCACACTGAGCGGGGCTAGCTCCAGTCCGCCCAACTCACTTCTCTGTGGGGTCTCAAAGCCACTGCTCGTTTATCTTTTTTTATTCATGAAAACCAAACCCCCCCCTTTTTATTTTATTTTTTTGCCAACAAAATGGGGCAAAAAGGATGAGACCAATGCAGAGAAGGAGCAGCCCACCTGACCTCTGGTTTCTCCCCTCCACCCTTCAGGAAAGCCTGCATTTTCCTACTGAGCTAACTCTGAAGAGTCCTATAGTGAGACTCTGGACCAGGGCTGGAGGAGGGTGAAAGTCAAGGCAAGTGTGAACTCAGCACCGGCGGATTTGGCGGCGCTCGCACGCCCCTGGAGCACTGATGGGAACTGGCCCCACCTGGGGTTTATCGCTCTGAGTCAGAGAAGGAAGAGGGCTTAGTCCATCTCCACACCAGCATGTCTTCGCCAGCCACGCGGTGCGACTCCGTCTGGATCCGGGATTCGTTGGAGGCCAGGAACTCCACGGCTCGGTCCCAGACCCGCTTCATGCGCCTCCTGTAACGACAGGGGCCAGGCTCAGTGGAGCAGCTGTGGAGAGAGGGGCCCTCTGTACAAAGAGGGGTGGTGGGGGAGATCCAGCTCGGAATTTATCAGGGGCTGGGGGGAGGCCTTTGTGTACTGACAGGAATTCTGCAGGGGAGAGAAACTTCAGGAGTGGGAGAAGTGATTTCTTAACCTTCCTGGCAGCAAAACTTTCAATTAAAGGGGCGCTGAACCAGGTTGGAGGTGTCTGGAGCAGTCCAGGTGGACAAGACTGGGCCGTGTTTGGCCAGCTCTTGCAGGGGCCAGGCTGGCCCCACCACCAGTGCTGGCTGCACGTTAATCTCCGTGTGGGCCGACTAGAATGGCAGCTGGGGAGTCCAAACTCCACAGCATGCCGGGGGTGGGGAGGAGGTGAGCTCCCAGCCAGGCAGCCAGGGGACCAGCGCCGTTTTCCAAACCAGAGCCGGGCCAGGGGAGGCCCCTTCCTGGCTCCCGGTCTCGGGTCTCAGGCCAGTGGCCAGAGTCCCTGCTTGCGGGATCCCTAGTCAGCTTCCTTCCTACCCCCTTGCAGACTTGACAGGAGATGCCGAGGCTGTCGGGAAGGGCCGCTGTGACGCCTGCCCTTTGATGAGCCCCTGCCTTTTGTCAGCACTGCAGATCACCTCCCTGTGACAGGACAAAGCAAGCAAGCTCTTGAGCTGGTCTGTGAGCAAGACGCAGAGTGGGGTGTTGGGGCTTTCTTCCAGGGAGGCAGGATGTGTTATCCACCGGCCCTAATTGGCTGGTTGGGCCACGGAGAGAGTCCCGTATGCTAGGCTCTAGCAGCCGGGGGAGTTTGGGGACCAGTACCTCACAGCCCAGCCCCTCCTTCCTAGTCACCCGTTACCAGGCAATGGAGATGCTCTCATCAACTCCCCGGCTTCCCTCACCAGCTACCTCTTCAGTTCTCCCTCACTCTCACAAGCAGGCCTGCAAACGCAGGGCAGAACTGAGCGTGCTCACCAGGGTTTGAGAGCTAACATAGCCTTAGTTGAGAACTCAGTGGGACCCACCAGATCGCTTGGGAGATGAGTCCAGCTCAGGGCTGACGGGGCACTAGCCCCCCGGGTTCAGTGACAGGGGCTCAGACCCCTCAGGGTGCTGCCCCTGTTGTCTCTACAGATGCAGAGAGCTGAGGTGTGGTGGCTGCAGTGCAACTTCCTGCTCTTATTTAAAGGAATTTGTGTGCGCAAGTAGTAACGCTGCCTTTGATGAGAGCTCAGGTGATAATCCCCGACTCAGTGAGCTGTGCGGTCACCTCCCCAGCCCCCCTCTCCCAACCCTTGGGCCTTGTCACATTTTCCTTATGCACCTTGTCATCTGTCTTCCTCTGTACTCTCTCGCTCTCGCCACGACCCTGCACCATGTGGCCCACAGCAGGGGCTCACAAACACTTGCTGAGAAAATGAACAATGGCCCCTTCACCGCGCCCATGGAGGGCAGTGTCCTAGCTCCAGCTCCCAGATAAGGACAGTGGCTCAGGAGGCTGAGTTAGCCACAGCCATGTGACGGCTCTGAGCAGGCCAAGAATTAGGTGGGAGTTTACATTCCCCAAGGGGTCACCCCCATGTGCTGGGGGCCAGACCACCTGCAGTCAGTCTGCTCTAAGTTTCCTGCCCACTACCTTCCAGAGGTGGAGGGCCATGACAGTGATAAAGAACCTTCACATTTAAATGTCCTCCTAAACATTCTGCTCTTCCAGTTCTCGTAGGCTGCATGAGAAGGGAGTGACCTCACTGGAGAGCCTGGCAATGGAAGCACAGAAATGCCAACTAGCTGGGGGGTCTGAGCTTGTCCTCCAGGCTTCAGTTTCCTTATCTGTAAAATGGGAGCCCCAGTTCTCACCACCAAAGGCCACGGTGAGGATCAAGTTGCCTTGTACCTGTGGAGCACCGACCCGGTACTGAGCAGGCTGCCTCAGCAAAGGGGAGCTCTGGGAGTCATCCAGCAGGTAACAGGGTATGGCCCAAGACTGCAACGGGGCTCACAACCTGAGCCAACACCCGGTGGGCCTGGCTGGCAGCCTCCTGGCTTGCTGTCCCCCAGCTCCACCTTCCCCTAGTTAGGTCAGGGGTCTAGTCAGCACCCACAGCCCATGTGGAAGCCGTGCACGCAGCAGGTGTGGCCTGCCGCCCTCCCCACCGGCCCCGTGGCCTGGAGGCGGTGAAGCTTTGCCTTCAGCTACACACACGCATCGGTGCACATGTGCGCAGGAACTGGGCCTCATTTTAGGTCATCGGTGTTTTGATGCTGGGTCGTGGGTAAAATCCTCCTGGTCAGCGACAGATTCAAGCACAGACAAATAACCAGATCTGGCCAGTGGAGTCTCAAGCTGTACGTCACTGGCACCTTCTGGGAGCTGGCGACAGGAAGCCCACCCCTTTCTTGCTGGTGTGAGCAGGCGGACACTGTGCCGGCCGCCACTAGCCCATCCTGTGGTCCCACGGAACTCCACCTCTGACAGCACCCTCGAAGGGCAGGACGACCGTGAGGAAAGAGAGAAAGGGAACCGGAGCCCTGGCTGTCCGTGCCGGCGCCACCCCACTCTGGGCCTCCACTCACGGAAAACCAGCTGGCCCCTGCCTGCCGGAGCCATGGGGGAAGAGAGGGGCTCTAGGGCTTGCTGTCCAGGGCACCCCAGTGAGAGTCAACGCTGAGGGTGCCGCCACCGCCGTGGAGGAGAGTCTTTCACACCTTCCACACCTCTTGCCCACCCGTCTGCCGAACAGAGGAGGCTGGAGTAGCGGGAGGTGTGGTCAGCACCTGCAGTTGGGACCCTGGGGCCGAAGGGCCGCAGACCAGTGCTGTGAGGCCTCCTCCCCGGGAGCCGCCCGGACTCACCGACTCTGCGGCGGGATCAGGGTGTCGCGCACGTGCAGGATGCCCACGTAGGGGTAGCGCTCCATGTCCTGCTCCCAGTCCACGTAGTGGTCCTGGACCACGTCTGCAGGACAGAGGGCAGCGTTAGGGCGGAATCTGCAGTGGGGACGGCAGCCCTTCCACGGGGGCCACGCACCTATAATCTTCTTCACCATCTCATACATGGCCTGTTCCTCCTCTTCCAACTTCCGCCACCGATACTTCAGCAGGATCAGTAGCCCCCACAAGAAAGCCAAGCCTGTGAGGGAACAAAGAGCCGGTAATCCCTCCCATCGCCTTCATCTGTGCAGCTGCTCCCAGGCCTCACTCGGGGCAAGTCGCGGTGCTGGAGCTGGGGTGAGCTGCCCAGTGTGTTCTGGGAACCTGTGTGCCAGGCCCGAGGCCAACCAGAGGGAAACAATGGACTCAAAAATGGGAGAGGAAGACCCACTATTTGGTGACCCCCCCACAGAGGTGTCGCTGCCATCCAGATCTCAGCTCCTTCCCACCGCGCCCGGGGCCTTCCTCTCCGCCCTCGTGAGCCAGACACTGCCTTTCATACATGTATACATGTGGGGCCTTCGCATTCAAGATGCTGCCGCCGCTGATGTCTGCGCCTAACGGTGTGGGGGAGGGAGTTGCCGGCACGCCAGGCGGTCTGTGACTCTGTACAAGTGTGATTTCTGTGGCCTTTCACCTTCACAGACACCCCCAGGTCTCTGTTCAAAGGCAGCTCCTGATGCCGGGACACAAGCCCTGTGCTCTCCTTCTCAGCTTGGCACCCCGTCTTTCTGCTTTTATCAGGTATCTGTAGCCCCACAGGAGAGGTTTACACTGCTCAGGGAGTAGGCTGAGCTCCTGCCGCTGCCACTGCTGCTCCCCAGTGTAGCCTGCTCTCTGGGGTCCAAGGAGGAACGACGTCAGCCCAGGCCCACCCAGGCTCCCTCTCAGAGGCAGTGTCCCCACCCTGAGTCGAGGACATTTCTAGTGGCCCTCAGGCTCCCGCTGCCAATCTCCACAGGCAGATGCTGACCTGTCACCACCCTGGCTTTAATAGACAGACTTCGAGTTCACTGCACAGAAATGAACTCTCTGGGCCTCACCACTCATACTTAAGACTCTCCCTGGGCTGGGTTTCCAGGAGGCAGTGAGAGCAAGCAGTCTGAGTCAGGGCAGGGCTGAGGAGAGGAGAGGACTTACACCAGAAGAAGATAAGCACGTGGGTGACAGCGGTGAGCAGGGCGCGGCGAAGGCGGCAGCCAACGCCCATGCGAGGGCGGGCAGATTCCAGGCACACCACCTTGTCCACGGTTGTCACCAGTTCTGAAGGGTCTTCCCCTTTCAACCTGAAACAGGACACAGGCTGTAAATGCATTCAGAAGTTCTGGCCTGGAGTAAGCTCCATGTTCAGCAAGAGGAAGAGAAGAAAGCCTCTCCTTGCCTACAACAGACTTGGTATCGTGGTTGCACTCTTTCCAGAAATTTCCCACGGTGGCTACTTAGAAAGACTAAAGCCTTCAAGATGGCAGCAAGCTTGAACCCCTACTGCTAAAGTGCCGTCCCCTTCTGCCGGGTCTTCTGCCAGCCCCTCAGTGTGTGGAAGATTAAACTGTAAATTGGATTCCCACCCCTCAGCATAGAGAAATGGAAATGTTTATCGAGTTGCTGGTTTTGCACTGCGTGGCGAGCCCTGAAAGAGTTGGGGAGGGCATGCTTTTCCTCAGTGGCTAGGAGGCACGGAAGCTGTTTTCCGTGCAAAGATTATGGGCGTCTTGAGGCGCAAGGGAGTAAGACCCACTGGGCCCTCCAAGGCACGCCGCCTCCACCCCACTGAGGAGGTGCCAGGCCACGAGGGAACGCTGATACCACCCCGTCTCCCAGCTAGGCGACAATCCCATGTTTTGGACTGCACACTGGGAAGGCGGGTAGCCGAAGTGTCCTCCTTTCTGTGACCCACTTTGGACACTGCTGTGTGAGCTTGGCTCAGTCCCCCTCCAGGCTGCCTCCCCCAGTATACTCCTCTGTGCTAGCAGCTTCAGTGAGGAGGCCGAGGATAAAATCCGCATTCTCCTCCGCTTTTCCGAACACAGGAAAATCACTCAGCCACTCAGCAAAGCTTTTTTTTTTTAAGCCAACAAAAAAATTTTAATCGTGCCATGCATCCAGTTATCAAGCTTTAAGTCGAGCTGCCCAAGGGGCTCCTGTTGGATGCACTACTGATGGAATTAGTAATTTGGATGGATTAGAGAGTAGGAGAACAAAACCCCAGAGTGTGTTTTAATATCAGGAGCTGTAACCTGAACAGAGACCCTGACAAGCCCCGAGAAGTGGGAGGCTGACGACGTGAGTGCTTTTCCAGCGGGGGGACCCCACCACCCAGCAGTGGTGTCCCTCCCCCGGCACAGCAGCCAGATGGGGCCTTTCAGGAGGGTGAAAGGGCCGCTATCTCTGCTCACAGTGCTCACCAGAGATAGAAATGAGGCGGAACTGCACGGTCAGAATAAAATCCAGTATTTCCTTTTGCAATTTCCATACTGAGCGAAACCAACATACAGAATCATTTCATCTACAAATGAAAACCAGCACCCAAGGAAAGGAAGTGCAGAAAAATGCCTTCTCCAGCAAACCACGCAGGGCCAGCAAATTACAAAGGCACAGACTGAGTGATTTGAAACAGGTTTAGCTAAAACATCAGGCTAACATCCTGACACCTGGATTCTGTGTCTCATTTGACAACAGTCCTTACGCTGCATTCCTGACACTCTTCCCTCCCTTTGCCTGGCTAGAAGCCTAGCCCACAGCCCAGAACAACTCAGCTGTGAGGCTGCCTCCAACTGCAGACCCGAAACTCCTCTGTTAGCACAGAAGTCAGTGAGGGGTGAGGACAGCGGGGCAGGCGCCCTCCCGGCGTGTGCTGCCCAGCCCACGCTCACCAGATGCCCACGTCCTTGTTACTGCTCAGTATCCAGGTCAGTGCAGATTCAAACTTGGCGGAGCTGCCAGTCACATTCTGTGGGAGGGGACAGAGAAGATTACTTTTAGGCTTGGGCGGGGCAGCTGGAACAACATTATCCTGTGGCTGGGTTAAGAAAGCCCTCTTTGGTGCCCACCACATGCTCCAGGGCCCTGTTCTGCTGAAAGGCACAGCAAACTGGCAGGCAGGAAATGTGGGGCTGATGAGCAAGGAAGAGGCCATCACTGGGGAAAGCGATGTGGAAGCACACACAGGACGACAGCGCAGGGCCCGAGCCAAAGAACAGGGTTTTCTCAAAGACTGACGCGTCAGGGCCAGAGAGCTGGCAGCTCACACTGGGTCAGATGTTTGCCCAACTGAGTGTGTGTGAAGCCCGATGGCCAGTCCGGGTTAGGCGGCCTTGGCAAAGTCCCTGCCCCTCTCGACCTCTCGAGGACTCAGTCTCTTCATCTGTGAAATGAAAACTGAAGGCAGTGACACGCCCCCCACCCCCCGCCCCAGTTTCTGCCGGTTACAAAGTTTCATAAATCTGAGGCCACGAGGAACAGCAAAGGGACCCTGAGGGATCCACAGGGTAACCCTAAAGGGAGAGAATGGACCTGCTACAGGTATACCCTTACAGCTGATGAGCAGGGGAGGAAATCGAGCCAAAGGGGGACCGGCTCACAGGGCTAAGCAGAGAAAGGGCGGCGGCGGCGGCCGTGCCGGCTGGTCAGTAGACCTGGCCTGGTGCAGGGCTCAGCTTGGCCGTGACCTTCACAGGTGCCTTCACTGAAGGTAGCCTCACAATCAACAGGGAAAAAATGAAGGAAAGCAAAAAAGCCAAAAAGCAAACACGAAACGAAAAGGAGAAAAACTGCAGGGCTTGAAAGATCAATAGGAGAGCGCCAGGACCTCCGGGGAGTGGGTAAGCACTGCGGCCTACTTACTGCTATGTATTCCTGGGCTTCCATTACAGGAATGCATTTGCTTTTTAGCTTCTCTGGATTTCCACAGTCAAAATTACCTAGGAGAAAAAAAACACACATTCAAACACAAGGAAGAGGTGAAAAAAAAATTTACTCTGAAATGGACTAAAAAATGTAGCAAGAATCAAGCCATCAGCTCTGATAGGGAGCATGCGGCCGCCAGCTCTGGCTTCTCTGGGCATCTTCACTCTGCAGCAAGATCAAAAGCCACTTAGCTTGGATCGATGCCAGATCATTAAAACCTGACCTGCAAAGCAGTACGGCGATTTGCATTAAATGACTAAAAAGCTGCCCAATACCAAGGTCTGTTTGCAATTGATCCCTAAAAGGATCAGACAGATAGCTTTAGAAGGTACCGGAATGGCGCTATAAATAAGCACGGCCTGGGAAGAAAGGAAAGGTAGAGGCCGCAGGCACCAGAGGGATCTGGACTCATGACACAGGCAGGTGGCCCAGAAGGCCACGCCCACTGCTTTGAGGGGCGCTGGGAAGGATATCCAAAATGCCCCAGAGGAAGAGGTATTGGACAGCAAGGCCTCTGTGGTTGTTTCAGGCCACAGCTCTGTTTTGAGCACCCTGGGTGGCCTTCTATCACCCACAATAGAGCTGGCAGCCTCTCCCGTGTCTTCCCAGGCTTCCAGATCTAGCCCAAGGACCACCATCTCTGAAAAGACCCCCGCACAGGGGGACCTCCGGACTCGGGGGGCCTACCATAGCCTTGGCGCTCCATCACACCTCCCCACCCAGGGCTGCTTCCCACGGATCCCGAGGCCCCCTGCAAGCAGGACTGCACAGGGCTGGGCACATACAGGAACCTAAACCCTTACACATGCCAGCTGCTCTTAACTGGGCACGGCCAGTTAAGGGCTTTGTCTGTCTGTTGGTGAGCCAGCCGCTGAAGGTGACATTAAAAATCTTAAGAATGAACTGAAATCATCCTCAGCGCCCACCACAGCCAGATTCTCCTACTTCCAAGTTATCTTTGGGCCCCAAGACCAAATCGGCTTTTCTCTTCTTCCCACCCCCACCCAGACCACTCAGCCTGGCCCGAGGCCCCATCTCTATCTTCTACACGCTTTGTTGTCAACCCGCTTCAATGACATGACTCCACTCAAGCTGCTGCCACATTTCCCTTCCTGGTAAATGTTTCTTCAGCCCCTTGCACCCCTACTCAACAGCCTTCCTGCAAATAGCATCACGTTCCTGGGACCCGGCATCCATGCTGTTCAGAGTGGGCATTAACTGGTCTTTCCACATTCCATTCCCTTTCTCTCCTTCCCCCATGAAGCCAACGGCCACCATCCCTGACACTGTGGTTTTCTGCCTCTTTGGTCTGTCCGACTCTCCATATATACATAATCACTGGGCTTCATGGATACCACCGCCCCTGTGAGACTGACTGCTCCATGCTTCCCAGAGGTTCTGGCCTCTTGGTTCTCATCCAAGTGAATCTTTAATCTGCCAGCGTGGCAGGGCCTCTCTCTCTCATAGAGACCACAAGCAGCCTGCAGACAGGACCCTGGGCTGTGGGCTCATATCCTGTGAAGGCCAGCACAGAGCCCTGCCTCGGCTGGTCTCCCGCAGAGAGGGGGACAGCAGTCTGACTTAGTAGCAACCCCACGCTCTCTGCTGCTTGTCTCAAGTCTGTCTTCCCAGGGCCGCCCCGCTAGACTGGTGAAACATGGCAGGTACCAGCAGCACGTGGAGGGGAGGAAGGGAGGAGAAATGTCTACTAGGATGCACAGTTCAAGAGCAGAGTTTCTCAACTTTATGTTGATTTTGAGTCAACAGGTTTGAGGTGAGTTCTGAGGTGCTACAGTACCCATAAACCCCCACGTGGTATTGATACTGCTGGGTCTTGATTGCAATGGAGCCACAAAATGTCAGCACACCTTTTTAGGCCATGATTTCTATTCTTAGAGCATTTGGACAGGAGACATTCCCAGGCGACTGCCTGGCTCTGCCCAAGGCGTGCACACTGCCTCCCCCGCCATCTGCACTCTCCCACAGAGGAGGGGAGCTATGGCAGAGCTGAAGCCTGCAAGACTGGCTCTGAGGACTGAAGGCCCAGTACAAGTTCACCCCGGCCGACTTCCCAGGTTGGCCTTATAGGTAAGAGGCACCTTTTGAATATCCAGTAAGTCTGAACAGTTCCATCTGGTTCCTTTGCCAAATACATTTAACACTGGCACAGCCCTGGACTTACCTATGGCATCAGCAAGTGATACCGAAAGTCCACAGAACCCAGGTATAAGGAAAGAACAATGTGGTGACAGCTCTGGCCTCAAGGAAAGGTTTATCTGTGAGATGGTTGGGTTTTCAAGGAATACTAATGGGATTGCTGGGAATGCCTACCTCTAGCACAGAGCACTTGGGTGTCACTTTGTGAAGCAAGATAGACCCAAGATCAGTCATATGGGAGACTGAGGCCCTGAGAAGATCAGGGATTTGCCTGAAGACCCACACCAGATGGAGTGGGCAATCGGAACCACGCCCGGGGGCTAGACAGGCCTGAATGTGCTCAGCCTGTTACACAGACTGCCCACCCTCTGCACAGACCTCTCCACCTGGCCTGGCCAACCAGAGGGTGCAGGGAGGCCAATGGGAGTAAGAGCAATATGGGAGTGGGAGAAAAACCAGAGGTCTGGCCCCTTTCGGTGCAACGTGGCCCCACAAAGCATTAGGTGGCGGGCATCCCAGAGGAAAGAGAAAATCAGCTGAAAGGTCTGTGCCATGTGTCAGGACCTCTGGGACCATTAAAGGGGCCCAAATGTATTTTAATCAAACACAGGCTTGGGGGGGATGGGGAAGGGGGATATGGGGATGGTGCAGACTCAGCTTCTGGGTGTATCTCTGGGAGACACCACACCACTTCAGTGTCTCCGCTACTGGCCAGTCAGTCTCGTCCTGGCTGATGCAGGACGAGCAACCCTGGGCCTCAACCCTCACGAGCAACCCTGGGCCTCATGAGACCTACTCACCCGCTTGAATGGCCAGGAAGTTGTACAGTTCGTGCAGCAGCTCCAGCAAGGCCGCCTTCTGCTTGGCCTGACAGAACTGAAAGTGCACAGGACAGCCAGTCAGCACGGAGATTCGGTGAGGGGGACTGTCTGTCCGGCTTGAGCTCCCCAGCCAGGCTGCCGAGTACTAAGCAGCAAGGTACACCTCATACTTAGGAAAACTAAAATAAACTCCACAAAGCGGTAGGCTCGGGCACAGGGCCGGTAAGTCTCGGGCTAACAGGTTAGAAAGAGGCACTGTAACAGCAGAGGCAGACGGGAAGCAGGCGGTCACAAGGGCCTGCCATCCTGGGGGTGCCCGGCCTCTGGCCCATGTCTCCCGCTGGAATAAAGGCCTGTATGTGGGGCTGTGGAGCAGAGGCCATGGGGGGCAGGAAGGGGGCAATCTTGGCTAGGCTTCCTGGGAGAGAGAAGGACATACTGGCTAGTCTCCCCTCACACTATTCTTATCCATTCCTTTGGAGGGTCAATTCACTTCCAAAGCGTGGATTTGTGGGTTGCTACCAATGGTTGGTTAGTTGAAAGACTAGATTCCCATTAAAAAGGGGACATTTCGAGAAACCTTAAAACTGTAGTAGAGGAAAAGAGTCATCTGTCTGAGAAAGAAGGATTATTATGTACACTTCATCCTCTAGCACCTGTAATGGAGCTCACAGCATTTTAGTGGACTTAGTAGAGTTAGAACACTTAAGGAAAAAAGCCACTCTTCCTTGAGACTGGATGACAGCCCAGCTGAGTGGTGTGTACATGACGGTGCGCTGGCTCCTCACTGCACCTCGATTCTTCAGATGAGGAACCCGAGGTTTAGATAACGGAGTCAGATAACTGAAATCCCACTGTGGTCACGCCTGACCGTTCGACTCCAAGTCCACCCCTACATTCAGGCCTCTTCTGGGGTGTCACCGGGCTGGGCCTTGGACAGGAAGCCAAAGGCGTGGGTTCTGCGCCTGACTTGGCAACTAAGCAGGAAACCAAGTCGCTTTCCTCCCCAGGGCTCACTGGATGGCCTCACCTGTGTGGCGGGGGCTTGGCTTCAAATAGTCTCGGAGGCCAAGATGTGGCCCTTCATGTTGCTTAGAGACCAAAAGCGTTCACCAGGCACAGATCTCACCACAGTTTACATACACAGCTGTGGATGTCCACAAACAACTCACTTACCTCCTAGCAGCTTTAGGAATACAAACTACTTTTTAAGGAATATCTAATGAATGCTGATAAGTGTTAAATGTAACTGCATGGAGATTGCAACTCTATAAATATACATATACAGAGAGATAAAATGGGAAGCAAATGCCCCAAAACGTTGATGGTGATTATCTTTAAGTAACAGAATCATGGGTGATTCTGTCACATTTTCCAAATTGTCTACATTAAACATCTATCAACTGTCACAACGGGGGAAAAAAAACAGTAACAACTACCCGTTCCAAACTCACTAATATATTGGCAGAGTAGGGACCAGACAACAAGCCAGTCTAAGACAACACACCCACTTGAAACCTGCCCCAAATATGTATTTTCAGTAACACAAACAAAGGCGGAAAGAACAACGACAAGTGGCACGGCCCCGCGGCACGACAGGGCACACCTGAAAATCAAGCACCTGTCTGGGCTGAGCGAGCCTGGGCCCACACAAGGAATGAGACTTTCAGCAAGACCCTCCCCAAAGCCACGAAGCGCCTCCCGGTCTGACTATTCCTGCATCTGCCCGCCACCAAGGCCGAGAGAGCCCCAGGAGTGTCGAGGGCACGGCCTGGACCCCGCCTTGCGACAGACTGCTCACTGCCGTCTTGAGCAGGGGCCCGGACTGTGTGTCCAACTCACTCCAAAGGGCAGGAGCAGGCCCAGCGCAGAGGGCCAGGGAGCAAATCTGCCATCCAGGCGTGGGTCCACTACATCTAGAGACGGGAAGGGCCAAGACATGGAAGCCAAGCAGCCCTTTTCTAATTTCAAAACAAAACTAACAGCACCAGCAAAGTCTAATAGAAGGAGTGGTATTTTTTAACTTGTTTTCATGCCTTGCCTATAAAATTCTAGGATCCCTTCAGCTGGCTATGTCCCTGGGCCACTTCCTCTAATCATCAACTGTGGTTTTTATACAGGAAGGCAGATTAAACTTATTATGGCTATTTTTATAAAACAACTGGGAAGCAAAGATATCTGGTAGATGAATGCAATAAATGAGGGTAATAAAACACTCCAAATATGACACAGCACAAGCCAAAGAGAGATAAAACCAGTCATCTGCACCAGGCCGCCCCTTCACCAATGCGAGGCACTGAGATGACCACCAGTCGAGGACTCCTTCCCAGCCCTCAGGCTGCCAGAGCCGTTAACCGAGGACTCAGGCAGGCCCAGCAGTCAGGCCCAGCACTGCAGGCTTAATAATTACAGTACTAAGTCATGCCCTCTGGCAGTCTAAGACTCCTGGTAGGATTTATGACCTGAAAATTTACTGCCTTGTATCCTCCCTAGACTACCACGAGCACCAGCATCCCAGTTGCGTGCTAATGTCGCTTTCATGACTCATAAAAGGGGCTGCTCACCTTCCCCAAATATTATTTGTAGGAAACAGGAAAGCTTCATCAAATCCAGAGAGTAGGAGGAATAACTCCACTTTAGAGGTGTTTAAAACAAACCCCTACAAGGTTTCAAACCGGAAGGGTATTTTCAGAGTCACTGCCATATACCTGGAGGAGAATGTGGACTTAAGAATCTGGCCTCCTGCTGCGCAGCCTGAGAGGTCCTCCAAGCACAGCCTGCTGCATCTCCCTAGATGGACTCAGGGGCAAGATCAAAGTCCCCAGTGATGTGACTGCGAGGCGAGCTTGCGCAACAAGCCCCCGGTTGGATCTTGGGCGCTTAATTCTCTGTTTCAAGTACTCCTTCACTGCCACAATTGAGTCTGACACAAACATCACAGAACACGATGTGATTCTGGTACATTACAGGAAGCACTCACTGAAAATGATCCTATTATGATCTTTTTTTTTTTTTTTTCTGGGGAAGCTTCCCTCCTGATGGAGGCTAACATCCTTGGGAGAAGTAATAAGAGCTAGAGAAACTCAGACTCACCTCGTCTGTTTTCCTCTCACAGTCCACTGGCAATAATTTCACTAAGACCAAGAAAAGAAACACAGAGGATATTAAAAAGGGTAGGTTGAGGAGTAGAGGACAAAAAAAGGAGCACTGTCCAAAATAAGGGGAACTAAACCAATACCGATGTTTAGAAAGATGTTATCTAATAAGGATCTTTTCAAATGTGGCTGGTTTCCCAGCGCTGGGTTGGGAGTTCGGTCCTAATCCAACTGAAAAGGCTCAGCCCCGGGCTCGTGGGCAACTCCTTTTACTGCTCGGAATCTCTGCTTCCTCGCTGCAAAATGGGACCAATAAGGTTTCTCTGCTCAACTCAGGGCCTTAGGAGATGGCATATATGGCTTTGCACACTGTAAACGACATGTTAAACAGGTGGAAGGGAAGTCCAGGTAAATTCTGTTGTCTTTAAGCATTTCAGCTCTGAGTATGACAGTGACTCTGCGTTCATCACTGGTGTAGCTAGTGCCACTGCAGTGCCATGGCGCCAGGATCTGCTGACCTTCTCCCGCAGGCGAGTAAGCTGCTCTGAGTCAGGAAATTATTTGGGTGTGTTCATGAGGCTGGGATCCCCAAGCCCACAGACTTTTTTCATACACCCAGACATCCATCTGCTGCTATATCTAAGACAATTTAGCTTTTTCCTGTATTTCTGCTGTTCTGTTAGGCATGGAAAGATGTGGCCTTGGCTTGAGGCTGGGAACAGTATTAATCATTCATGCTTTGCAAAGAATACTAAACATGGGTGTACTACCATGTCATTCTATTCTTAAGTGTATGGAGAAATGCTCTCTACTTTGTTTTCTGTTAGACGATAGCCCAGATTTACCTGAAAGGCAAATTCCCCTTTCAGAACACACACAAGCCCTCAACTACTCAGGAAACATACCGTAGCCCGCACACCTCTTATTGGTGTATCTAACTACATAGCTGAGGACAGAAGCATGGCCCGGGACGTTCTGTAACCACAGGACCCCCGTCTTCACATACTCTACAAGGGGGCTGCAAGCAATGACAAACGCCTCTGTTTATGACTTTGAACTCTTTGAGGCCCTTCCATACCTGTCTCACAGCCAGGCCTACTATAATAAACGCTGACAAATGAGGGCCCTGTAGTCCAAAGAAGTGGAGCATATGGCCTTTCTGGTGCTGCCAAGTGGGACCCCGACCAGCTCCCCTCTGGGAGCTGCCAAGTGGGACCCCAAATAGCTCCCCAAATTGATGCCTTCACATTAACCAGGGTGCCTTCAACCGGGCACTAAACACGTGAAATGAGCAAGAGATCAAAAGGGACAAGAGAACTAAAAAGGAAAGGGGGTGGAACTGTCAGAGAGAGGTGTGGCTGTCGCTCCACAGGGAAAGCCAGAAGTTGGGGAGAAAGTGACCACAAATGAAGACTGCTTCCAGCGTGTGGCTGAAGGGGAGAGTGGAGAGGAGGGGCTAGGGCAGAAGACAGAAGACAGTGAAGAGAGAAACCCACAGCCTGAGGAAGGAAAGTGCAGGCCAGGAGGGAAGAAGACGGCCCGGCTGACAAGGCCCCCGGTAGTGTGCAGCCTGGTGCTGAGGAACGCGAGGCCGTCCAGGTGGCCACACGCGCGCCCGGGCCCTCCCCTGCGCCGGCCCAGGACGTACTGTTGTCCTCCGCCTCCTGCGGCGCCGAGGGCTTGCCCATCTTCACCCAGAGGATGCCCAGGAAGACGAGCAGCAGCCCCAGGCTGGCCCAGAGCAGGAGCCGGGACAGGCAGCGCTCCAGCCGCCGTCCCACTTGGGGCCGGGCCCGCGCCGCGCCCGTG